GTTTGAAACTTTTCTTTGTATACAAGTGTATTTGCCAGCATCGTTGGTGTGACAGTAGGTGAGTCTGCAAGTTTATCTCCTCTTAGTAGAATTGTAACCCAAGCCATCGGGCAGGAGAGGCTGGAGCCGCTGGCTCTCCGGCCACAGGGTCTGTCCCAGCCATTCCCAAATGCATCTTGACACTCTTGCACAAACGAGGAATAAATGTCCACTGCTTTTGGTCTAAATCTGTTCCGCTTGTCTCATCTCTCGGTGTGTCCGCAGCGCTGCAGGACGTGTGACCCCCGTGCAGGGAGCTGTGTCCCTCTCCAGAGGCACCAGGAACGCTGCTCTCCTGGCCTGGGGACGGAGTGGCTTCACTGGAAACATTGTGGAGCATGTGTGTCCTGGCTGAGGGGTGACAGCTCCAGGGGAGGGAGAGAGCTTGGTGTGCAGGGCTGTGAGCCTGGGGTCGGGTCACCCTCAGCTCTTGGCACTTATCCACAGGGTGTTGGTGTCTGGAATGCTGGGAAGGCAGGGTGTGACTCTGGAGAACACCTGTGGCATTGTCAGAACTGGAGGGCAGGCTGGTGGCTGGGGTTGTGTCAGCTGTGCCCCTGCTGGACCCTCAGCAAACACCTCAGGGGGGAGTTTCCCGGTTCATCACAGACTGTTCTCAGCTGGAAGGGCCCCCAAGGATCACTGAGTCCAACTCTGAAGTGAGTGGCCCACGCAGGAATCAAACTTTGTCATTATTAGCACTGTGCTCTGACCAACTGAGCTACTCTTAGGGTTGCCCTCCCGTTTCTCCATGGACTCACAGAATGACAAGGGAGGAGGTTTGGGGGGATTTTCTTCACCTGCTTTGTAATTGAGCCATCCAAGAAGGATTTTTGAGGCAGATGTGGTTGGCTTTGGGCATTGGAAGTTGCTGAAAAAGATCAGAGACCTGTATGGAGGGGAGAGAGAAAGGAGCAGTGACAGCTGAGAGAGCTGAGGGAGGTGGTTTCCCTTTTTGGTGGGGCAGAAGTCACATCCACAAGGTGACAGGACATTAATAAGCCATACATGCATTGAAATAGTCCTGAATCTGTAACAGCTGCAGCTTGGATGATCCATTAACACATCTGCTCCTGTTGGGATGAGTCTCACTTGCAGTGAAGTGTTCAGGTAGTTGAGACTTTTTTTGCTGTTTGCATGACCACAGTTGTGTAGTAAAAGCAAGTCTGGGGAGGATGTGCTCTGTCCTTTGTGTGGATGACCATTTGTTTGGGAGGGTTGTACTGTGAACTGGAGGAAGGAGCCTTCTTTTTTTTTTTTTTTTTTTCCTAGCATTTAACTGAAAACCTGACCCAGCTTAGCTATTTTTGGGACTAGAAACCTGCTCCTTGGGGGCTGTACATGGAACATGTTCCAATGTCAAACAGCACAGGAGGCCATGGGCTCTGGATGTTGCCTTTCTAGGAACTCTGAGCTTGTCATGTCATCAACCTCTTCCATCCCTGTCCAGTTTTTAAACTTTTATTTAGTACTTTAAGTTGCCTGCTTCCCTTTGCATGGCTTTCTTTGCACTGTGGATTCTGTAGATTGTTCATGGAATTCCCTCTTTCTTTCTTTACATATGCTAAGGAAATGTGGTTTATTAAAAAGTGCTGGACTGCTTAGATCCCCCCAGCTCTGGCAGCAGAGCTGGAACACTGTGCCTGGATACATTCCTTGAGCTCCTCAGTGCCCATCCACTGCACGGAGCGACCCAGAGGAGGAACATGATCCCTTGTATTTTGGAACCTCTCCTAGTTCAGTGCTGAGTTGGCTTAAACGTTCCCATGGCTCAAAGCCCAACCTCCCTGGACCTGCAGATTTGGGATGGAGCTGATCCTGAGCAGAACTGGAGACCTGATTACTGTGCTTGAAACACCAGCTTGTCCTTCAGCAGGATGTGCTGCTGCATTTCTGTCACAGCTTTTTTGGCAAGGCAAGAGGTTTGGGGGTTTTTTTTCAAAATATTTTTAGTTATTATCATGCTTTCCCAATGCTTCCAAGTAAGCTGCATCCTGAAATGTCCTTGGACTCTTCTGTTCAGTCTGCATCCATCAACTGATGTAGCAAAACCAGCAGGGCTGAGTTGGATGTGATGTCGTGTCCCTGGTGTGCTCAGCAAACTGTTCCCTAACCCTGGGTCTGTGACTTTCTTGGTGGTTTTCCTGGCTGCAGACAGCAATGCCTGGCTGCGTTTTTGGATGGTCTTGGTCATCTTCAGCAGCAAAACAGCTCTAGAGCTGTTCCTGCTCCCAGCTCTGATGTACAGGAGAAGATCAGAAGCCTAAAGGAATGATGATGGGAAGCTTTGCCCAGTTAAAGGTGGATTTCCTTTGTGCCCTGAGCAGCAGATGCTGGGGGGAGAGCAAGGCAGGAGACCTGGGCATGTGGGAGGTGCAGAAGAAAACTGCTCCAATGAGCTACAACTAAGGAACCAGGAAAACAAACCACTTCTGCAGGTGCTCAGTGCTCCCACTCCGGGTGGAGGAGCCCTTGGGTCAGGCTCCAGGCATGTCCAGGCAGAGCTTGGAAGTCACTTCCCGGGAGAATAAAAGCCCAGAGGTGTATTTGAATGGAAGGCAGGCTGTCCTTGATAAACACAGAACCTTGTGTGAGTGACCTTGTGTTCCTGTGTGAGTGACGGCGCTCGAGACTCCGGGAGGGATCCCTGCAGCTGCCCCTGCCCTCCCCTGGAAGTGTGTGTGACTAGATCTGTGCTAACACTGCCTGTACTCTTGTATTGTGTTGCAATTTGATCACCATTAAATAATTCCCTCAAACTCACTGTGGCTTGATTGCTTTTTTTTTTTAATATATATTTTTATTTTTTTAACCCATTTATTTTGGCTGGTGTTGCTTCCTTTGCTCTTGTGGCTGCTCTCTCCCTTCTCCCTGATGCTCCAGTCCTGTGCTGTCCCTCTCTCAACCATCTCCAGTCACCTTCATCTTGGCTTTTTTAGCTCCCTGCCAAGCCTGGCTCGCTCTGGCCACGGGCAGGGCTTTGTGGGTGACCTGGAGTGGCCTTGCTGGTCGTGTGCCTGCATCTTCATGCAGAAATATGTGTGCTCTCACCAATCCCACACTGTCCCCTTCCTTCTTGGAACTTGTCACTTCAACCTGTGGGGTTGAAGGAAGCCAGAGCTGTCTTGGCTGTTTAGGAGTTACCACAACTCATGGCT